AAAAAAATTAATATATCATAAATTTAATAAATATAGAATTTACATTATATTTTATGTATTTAATAATGATAATTAAAAATTTTAACATTTTAAATATCAAAATATCTTAATTTTTCTTTTTCCCAATTAAAATCAGCTCCCTGATCCTACAGAGATCGCTGGCATGTTAGTATATCAGGATATCTAATAAGTATGATAAAATAAAAAAGTGTTTTACATAGAATGAATTGTATATTAAAAATATTTAGATAAATTGATAAAGCATACTTCATCTTTAATAAATAATATAAATTACAATACATATATCACATTATAAAATTGATTTCTTTAGGTGATTATTACACTAATAATATTAGTATCTATTCTTATAAGGTAAGAGAGTATCAAATTTAAAACTCAAGTTTCATATTATCAATAATATCATTATTTTATTAAAAAAAATATGATCACTGTTGGAATAGTAATCTAGCCCATATACATAATAAAGGCTCATAAGGATCAAATACAAAGTAGCATATCTATGAGTCACAATGAAACTCATATACACTCAATTAGATCCAAATGGACCAATAAAAATGCAACACGTGTAAAGCACTTTCTAGAGGTTTATAAATACTCTCACACCTCTTAAAGGTAAAGACCTTTCCAAGAGCTCTTCTCTCTCTATTATATTTCTCTCCCTCTAAAAAGAACCTCAATTATAAAATATTGTTAACTTGAGTATCAGAGTGTCTACTCGAAAGACAATCCTTGGATCTGTTTTGCAAGTCCTCATGCTGGTCAAGTTGTGGTCAACAAGGGCTTGTGAAGCTGCGCAAACAATCACTTAAATCATACAAGTGAATGTTCCTTATAAAATTGGTTTAAGTAAACAGACATTAAACATTTGCAGTTTTCACATACTCCAATTTCTTTCCGGCGGATCTGTCATCCTAGGCAAAAAGGGCAAATCAGCCCCTGTACTCATTGACTGATGGCAAATCAGCCCCTCAATTGAAAACAGCACAAATTAGCCCCTTGAGTCATAATATGGTAGCAAATCAGCCCTTGACATTAGCAAAATGTTAAATTCTCACGTAGATATGGCTTTGGTGGGTCATATACTTACGTGGAAATGAGTTGGCAATTTTCTGACATATTGTGATATAAGAATTAATTTTTATATAATTTTTATATATTATTAAGTAAATAAACATATTTAATATCATGAATTTTAAATAAATAAATAAAATTAATTATTTAAATGATATATAAGATTATATCAAAAAATAATATAAAAAATCATTTCTAAATCTTTTTTTCTTCCATATCAAACTTAACCTCTTTCAAATAAGCACCCTACAAGCAAAGAGTCCTTGCTAAGATGCTATTATGGTAATTCGAGTTCTATTCAAATTTCTATTGTAACAATATGCCTGAATTTCAAGTATTGCAACTTACAATAAGAAATATTAAGCATTTAAAAATACAAATAAGAATTTAGTCAATTCAAGTTTCATTTGATAATATTCTTTGGTATTTTAATTTTTAATTTTTAATTTTTTACTATTTTAAAAAATAAAAATTCACTTGCATATAAATTTTATACGTTATATTTATACAAAATCTCAATTATTTATCTCTTTACTTTTAATGATTAAAATTTATTCATTTTATTAAAGATAATTATTATTTTTACATAAAAAGTTATGTTAAATGTTAACCATTAAAATTAAAATTTTAAATTATTAAAATTTTATATAAATATAATGTATAAAATTTATATGTAAATGAATTATTTCTCATTTTAAAAAATATATAAAATATTAATTAAAATAAATATAAATATATTAAATATATTTTATATATTTTTAAAATATTAAAGAACTTAAAAATCTTATAGTTACCAACCTGAGAAATGAGAAATAAAAAATGAAAAAGGTTTAGTTTGATATATGATAAAAATTTGCCACATAAGGGTTGGACCCCACTAGAACCATCTCTCCCTCAGGAATTAACACTTTGCCAACTGTCAAAGACTGATTTGCTACCATGTTATGAGTTGAGGGGTTGATTTGCCTCCATTTTCAGTTGAGGGGCTGATTTCCTACAATTCCATAAGTACAGGGGCTAATTTGCCCTTTTTGCCCCCGTGCCTGGGTGTAATCTAATTTTTTCAATCTATTAGTAGTAATAGAAAATTTCAACACCACGCTAACTAAAGGAGCGTAAACTCAACTCGCATTCCGATATCTTTTTTAAGGAAATCGAAAATGATTCAACGGTTTAGATAATCGTTATCTAATCACGCGCCTTACCATGGCGTGGTAACAACCATCCTAAGTAAAACAATGTCGGTTTTTTGACTTGTTAATGCTCCTAAACATTTGACGTTGTGATTTTGAGTGTGTGCCCCTTACCACCATTGTCTCGTTACGACTAAACCTGAGGGGGTGTTAGGCAGACGATCCACTTTTCCACCTAAACTTTTATAAAATTATTTACATAATTTAATATATTAATATTATAATAAAAAATTATATTTTAAATATTTATTTTCTTCAACACAATTTTTAATTTATAAATTTTTTTTACTTATTTTAAAAGAAAAAAAAATTTTATAA